TTGAAAATTGAACGTAGCCGTTGCGTTCAAAAAGAAAATGAAACAGCAGCTGATTTCTATCAAAGATATTTGGGACTAAATTTGGAAATTAATCCAAAAACCAAAGAAAATTTACTAAAAAATACTTTCTTCGAAAACTGAGATCAGAACTTGTTCTTTGGATGAAGGGTGATCCGGCAAGGATGTGCTTAGATGAGATACTCAAAAAGGTCGAAGAAGCTGAGATACAGTTATTGTATCGAAGAAAAGAAGAAAACCAGAGGTCGCTGCCTAATAAATGGATTTCTACGAATTCTGATTGCGATAAGGATGAAGGAAATCCGCAGGAATTCACGACATCGTTAACTCGGCAGCTGGTGCGATTGAAAACACCAGAGAGAACAATTGTTGTTGCTAATCTTGAGGCACCTCCTTCTCCATTAATAAATTCTTCTGGTCAAGAGACTCGGACAGCTAAATCTCCTGTTTTTCCAACTAATAACGACAGAAATCGACTAGCTTTTCCTTAAAATCGGCAAACAAATTTTTATGGACGAAATAATAATAATAGCTGAGGTCCGAATAGTAACAATAACAGTTCGCGTCTGTCTTTTCCTTCTGATAACTCTGTCAATTTTAATCGTTCAAATCCATCAGCGGCAAATGGTAATAGAGAACCCCCAGGGCCATGCCCAATTTGTCGTAAAAATGGACATTGGAGTAGAGATTGCAGAGTTCCTTGTACTATTTGCAGAAAAACTGGACACAGTGCAAATTATTGTTTCCGACAAAGAGGCAACTCTCAGCTTAGTCCATCTGCCGCACCTCCTTTTTCCGGCGGTGATTCACAAAATCGACAGAATCCTAATCATTTAAACTGAAGGAGCAACTGACTGAGGATAAGCTGACATCCCATACTATTCACAAGTTCTCAATTGAACAGTCAAAAGAACAGGGAAAAATCGAAGCCTTGCAGTCGCTATCGCGATTTCCAAAGCTCGGTCGTAATGGAGAGAAGGTTTCTCGACCTATTATCGATTCTGCGTTGTTATCATTTTCTTCTTCTTTGTTAGAAATGTCGAGGACTTCGTCAGCACCTGAACCCGCTACTTATTTATTGAGAATTTATTTCCACAGAAAAATCACCTAACTCTAGTTCCTCTCAAGCGGAATCTACTTCTTCTTCGTCATCTGTATTTAATGAGACGATTGATTCGTTATCAACTCCAAAAACGACAATATCCGATCAAAATTATAATTTATCAGATAATTTTAAGCGTGAAAACATCAAAAATTATAAGAAACAAAAGAGAAAACTAGAGAAGAAGGAAAAAGCTACAGTTGGAGAGGATTCTCTCTTTAAAACAGAATCAAGGCTTTGCTGCTACGGTTTTGAAATTAGAAAGCAAAATAAAAGAAAATTTGAACCAGTCGGCTGGTTTGAAGCTGATATTACTTTAGCAGGACAAACTTTTAGACATCCGGTTGTTCTAGCTCGCAAATTCAATCAAAGAGTCTTGTTAGGAATCGATTTCCTGTTCGAAATAGGTTTAGTTTAAGATGTACAGGATGGAAAATGCTGGTTGAGAGATAAACCGTTGTCTAAATTTTTGCTAGCTACTGATCTTCAGCAGGCCGGTCGCTTGGACATACCCGTCTACACTGTTCATAAAAGAAGAATTCCACCTTTTCATCAAACTTTCATCACGGCGCAAACACCGTTGGATATTAGCTGATAAAAGTGGGAAGCCATCACCACTTCTGCGAGTTCTCGACTTCGTTACTGTTGAAAACAATATCGCTAATGTTATGGTTGCTAATCTGACACCACGATGGAGTTATATTTGTCCTGGACAGAAACTCGCTTTCCTTGATCCTTTTTCTTCTGATTCTAGTCTGCAAAAATCTGATGGATCACTTCAAGAACATCAGGATACATGTATATTTATTACACAGGAATCACCCATGCCTGATCCGAAAGAAGAATAATCTAATTCTGCCGATAACTGTTCTAAAGACACTTCATCTACTACACGTGTTAACAGTCCAGAATTAGCAACATCATTATTTATAACAGAGAGAAAATTTGACAATTACATTGAAAAGATTAGACGACGTTTGCTAAGTCAAGATCCAATTGCAAGTCGGATTGAAGATGAGAAAATCAAGATTCGAAAAGATGCTGATGTTGGAGAAGGAGATTTCGGTTCGTCTTTATCGCTTTTTGCTAATAATCTCAGTACAGTTGAGAGGCCAGACCCTTTGACTGCCATCATAGTTCGTTCTTTAGCCGAGAAAACCGATCTTGCGCGTATTTCGCCAGCCAATCCTCAGTTTTATTCACAAACGGCCGAGAAGCACTTGAAGTCGTTCAGTGATTCTTACTTGTAGCCACTCTATTGCTTCAGTATGAAGGTTGGATTTTCCGGAAGCTTATGGTCATCGAGAGGAAGACGTATCAATCTTCAAAACTACAATAAATTTCCAACATCTATAAAGAAAGAACTTGAAGAAAATAAAAAAGGGTTTATATTTTATAACCTTTATTAAATCTGATTCTTCTTTCCATTCAAGTTTTTTAGAAAAGTTTTTTAAATGAGAAGCAGAACTTTAAATTTTAATTCAAATTTAAACTTAATTAATTATTAACTCTGTGAATAGTTATCAGTTCAACGAACGAACTTAAGGATATATATAATCAGGTGTCCTCTTTAAACCGACATGGTTTGAGGGCACATATTTGGGACTGGACCCACCTTAACTTGGAAAAAGTTCATTGCAAATGCTGGTAGTTTAATGTAATCCACCTGCGAATATTTTAGACAACACTGGAGATCTTATTCAACTGTGTTGTCTAATAGAACCGACATTCTTGTACAAAATAAGATATTGTACAGCTCTGTGCTTTTTATCTTAAAGAAATTACACCAGTTTTGCCCAAGCTATCGTTGTTGATAATCATCTGCGAACCTTATACTAGAGATTTAGCTGAAAATATGACTTTTTGTATTGTTTTTTCCGGTATAAATTTATGTAGTTTTAAAGCAGAAAAGAATTCCGTGTAAAAAAAGTAAACCTCCCTCATAATAGAAGACCCTTCTATGGGAACGATGTGAAATTCACAATAGAAGATCCGGGTCATGTAATGAATCGTTTGGAACCTTTTTAACTTTTTTTAGATTTACAGCAGCCATATATTAAATTTAAATTTATTTAATAAAAAAAAGATGTGACGTTTCAACTCTTCATAGAGTCATTTTCAGAGAGAAATTCATCAAAAAAAGTTTAGTTTTTCTTTGTATTTTACTTTCTATCTGAAATATAGTCATATTGAACTTACTTAATCGTATCTTTATAAAATATAGTAACGATATTCGACTCTTTATGCACAGAAATTCGTATTAGAAGACCCCTCGTAATAGCAGATCTCCTAAAAAATTTATACGCTAGAATATAATAGAAGACCACGGGGCGTTTATTATGAGGGGGTTTTATGTGTTTTCACGTCTGAGCACGATACTGGCCGCAGAGTTCGCAAAAATGGCAATCTTAGATGATAAAAAGGAAACGAAGACTTTATTTTTCTGTTATTGTAGGTACGCATCTTTACTGTAAATAAAAACCTTGAATAAAATAAATAAACAACTTTCTTACAGCAATCTGGTAGATTCAAATAGTTTCTGTTAAACTGTTAATGTTACTTCGACTTAGCTTTGTGCATTTCTTTTTTCTCTCAATTTGCTGTTTCTTTTGTACTCTCTGTTTACTTTTGTATCTTATTCTATAGTGAGGATAATAATGATTCGATTGAACTTACTTTAAATAAATCAATAAATCTGACCATATATATATATATATATATAATAAGAGCTTTAGATTTCAAATGTTAAGCTTAAATTCAGACGTTGTTGTTGGTTGATAATGAAGTTTTATTATTGAAATATAGAAACAACTATGAAAAGTAGGACTAATAAAAAAAAAAGGGAAATTGCTACTATTTTATACTGATGATGTTTTTAATGCTGCATAGTGTTCAGTTAGTGTACGATTTACTAAAACAATTTGATTAGTATGTGTTTTCTTATTAGAATAAGTTTTTTTTAATGGTACTGTTTCATAATTTGATACACAAACAATATGGCATTCGGTTAGACAACACATATTATTAAATAATATTTTTACTTCGTTTCGAAATGATCGACCACTTAAACAGTAGAGAATAAAGTTTATTGAATGATTTAAATACATTAATAATTTCATAAAAAATTGAATATTTTCCCATGCAATATAACTTTCCATTGTTTTTTTATGAAAATTGTGTGCATGATTAGCCGCTATGATCGATCGAATTGTAATAGGTATGGTGCACACAACAAATATACACGAAATAGTTAATAATAATACGATTAAACGAACTCCACTGCCACTATTACCAGATGAACTAACAGTACGCTCATTTCCAAACTTTTGTTCGATAAAACGTTTTTTCGATAAATTTGTGCTGCTATATGTTAATGAGCGATTAGAAATTGTCTCTAAAAAAAATTCAAAATAGTTTCAAGCGACTGATGTTTTTGAAAATTAAGAGGAAGAGCAGTTGTAAATAAATAACAAAATAGAGATATGGCTACGAAGAACATTTTAGATTAATTTTATCAGGTTGTAATCAAAAAATGAATCTACATAGTAGTTGGTCTGACTGAAATTCGAAAATTTTTAGAAAGAACGTGAAAACTTGAACAAAGTAAGAAAAACATAATTTAGAACATATCATACATTCGTTATATCAATTTCAGGGTACGCGACACTAGGGCGCAGAGACAGTTGGTCCTCAAAGGTGAGGATGTTTAACGAACATATAAGTCCTTTCGAAAGCTCGAAATAAATAGTGCAACTGGATGATAATTAATCTAAAATGTTCTTCATAGCAATATTCATTCTACTTTCCATTTTGTGACTGATGTCTTATTTATTTTGTGAAGAAGAAAGATGCTTAACAACTAATTTTTCATTAACAGATTTATATGCTTGCATTTTTGACAACTCGTGACTAACACATGTATTTCTTTTAGGCTAAAATGAAGAACGGTTTTAATTAACGATTCGTGATCATATCACAGTGTGCATCCAGGCCGGCTTTTGACGAAAAAATGCAAGCTGATTTTTCAGTAATTTTAAGAATGATTAATAAACTTTGAAACATGCTCTGTTTAATGGCAAAAATTTTTATGTCCTAGAACTTATTTAAGCTGGGAAAATTCTATACACAAAAACACACTAAAAAACCCGTGTCCACCGGAAAATCGGATTATACGCAAAAATTTTAAAAAATCAAACATAGCTATTGGGCAAACAAACATATATTTGGAATCAGCATCAAGTGCGCTATCGATTGGTAAAAAATTTTTTTATTTTTGGGCTTTCTAAGTTGGAGAAAAAAAATAAAACATTTTTCTAGCGCATTTTCCCAGGAGGTGTGTTTGATGCAATGCGTGCGCGAACTTTAGCGAAGCTTCAATTTTTATGAAATTTTCAGGGAATGCTGTCTTATATATGACATATCAACACAGTTAGCGCCAATTAGCGCCGACGCTTCTGGACCGAATGGTAGGTTTTCCAAAAACGTCCTAAAAGCCTTGATTTTGACGCTCGATTCCTCTTTTTCAGACATCAAAGCATTTCCATTGAAAACTAATGGCATTCGGAATCAGCGTCTGAAACTGCATCGGATGATGTATGACACAATATATTTTCTAACAAAAACATTTCCTCGAAAAAATGTAGGTGAGAGTCCCCTCAGGTGTTTTTTTTCAAAAAATGCTTTTTTTTCTTAAAGGTGGTTTTTGAAGTGATATACAGCCACTTTTGAGCAAAAGAAACCCGTTTCTGAGCACGAAAGTTACATGATCGCCTGCTATGCAAAAAATGCACACCGTGCATATTGCCGCTTCTTTAAACTTTCGAAAAAGGACTTTTGATTTAAAATATACTTTGTTGGTTTTACAGAGTTAAGTATCATACGCACAGGCATCAATATATCTCGTTCAGTAAAAAATGTCATACTTTGTTTTTTTTGTTAAGCATACTTCAGTGTAATTTCTTGACTGACACTGTAGTTGACATCATTTCAGGATTTGACATCTTTATACGGATTACTGTCGAATCAGCATACAGTGAACTTCGTCACTCAGATTCTCTCTATGATAAAATTTGTTTCTTACAGAAAAGGACTTTGATCAGCTTGATTATAAACAAACCTGAACGAATTGCATATCGTCTTAATCGTTGCCTCTGTTGTTGATTTTGATGAGATTTCTTACTATCACGATAATAGTCAACAAGACGAGTAGATAGTTTACTACGTTGGTCAGATGAATCAGTCGAATTTAAACTTGATGCTTGCAAATAATCATTGCGTATTTTTCTTGAATGAAGTAATGTAGTAATAATTAATAAATTTAATATTAATATACAAATAGATGGTAATACAGCATAAAATCCCGTATCTATATAGCTTAACCATTTATGACTTTTCATATCACAGACGGTAAAATTTGCTATATAACCATATTCAATTTGAAGATGATCATTATCGAAACCAATTGTAATATAATTATGTAGATTATAGATACCAAAAAATAGAATAATAAATAAAGATATTTTATGTGCCAGATGTAAAGAAATATTTGCACGTAATGGAAATCGAACAGCAATAAAACGTTCAAATGAAACAGCGACAATCAGCCATGCTGAAATGTCCGTAAACCAAAATTTTAAAAAATATAATGTTTGACAAAATACTTCATTTAGTAATAATGGTTGAATAAGAAATGCTTCCTCTAGCCAAAATATTAGACATCCAGTGAATAATACTAAAATGTCGACTATAGCTAATAAAGCTAAATAAATGTAGGATGATAAAGCACCTTTTCGTGCACGTTTAAACATAACCCATGCTGATAGAGTATTTCCTAATACACCAAATAAAATTAAAATTAATGGTAATGTACATCCGAGAACATGTATTAATTTAGCCGATGGATATTGCTGTCGAAGCTCATATGGACTAGAAAATACGGGACATTTTTCATGCAGTACGTCATGAATCTTTTGTATTGTTCTACTAGAGTCTTCATCAGCTGATTGATTAAATGAATGAAGCAAAGCAAATAATTCTCGACAATAGACAAGATCATGATCGCTTTCAAAGAGAATGGATACGTTGGATGATGAAATATTTATGAAAATATCTGTATAATTGTCCATTGAACCATTTATCAATAATGTCATTGTAAACACTAAAAAGAAACAAAAAATTTGACTTCAAGTTCGATCATTCGAACATACCTATTGACTTATAGTTTAGGATCCTATGTGTGTTGAGTTATATTACTCTGTTGGTCTAACGACAGCCGGATCTTTGAAGAACTATGGGGAACCTTCATGGTCATTTTCGGAATCAGCGTGGTCGATAACCTGTAACTCACTAAATTTCGATCAAAAAGCGATTTATCACCTCAAGCTTAAGATTATCCCCTCGTAAGCTGCCCCATAAATGGTAATGATGATTTCTCTTTAAAATATTAGAATGCAGACTAGACAGAAAAGCTTTTAAGGAATTTTTTTTACGCTTATTGTACAGTCGAACGTAATTATGCGCGTAATTGACAAACGTAAGTAAGGAAACGTATCAATGTACACTTGCACTGTCCATGGTCGAACTCTGATGTAAACTTCATTTTAGAACTAGTACGAATCTCGCACTATCTTAAATAAAAAGATCAGAAAAATTGGAGAGCTTTCAGAGTACAAGCTCATCAGACAGCGACGTTTGCCCAATATTTTATGCACAAAAGTACATATTTTCTTTTCACATATTTGCTTATCATATTATCTCTTTCTCAGTCTTTAATTTCTAGTTCCTAAGCATGCATCGGTTATAACCGATAAATTTCACCTTTTTTCTGCAACAGATTGCATGAAAGCTATGTATACTAAAATTTTTCTAAGAAGTAAGTGTTGTAAAGCCACCAATTTTCTACAAGATGAGTTATGGCGGAAGCCTTCATGTTTTCTATTTCTGCCGCAATTGCTTTTCGACAAAGAGCTCTATATTGGTTATAATCGTCAATAAGACTTTTAAGAAATTTTTTTATCATAAGTACTGGATCAAGATGAAGAATACTCTCATCGCCCATCTTGTATAAAAATGTTTGTTCTACAAAATTTAGTTGTTAGAAAAAATTTAGAGAATCAATTTTCGCTGGAAAAATGTTTTTGCCAAAAAAGTGTACAATTCCAATCGGTTATGACCGATGTCCTGATAAAGTCCCTATGAGTTTCATGACAAGATTCGAGACATATCGTACTAGGATTTCGCTTTAATTTCGTAGGATCCTAGAGTGCTAATGAAATCAGGTATACTCGAAAGCCATAGAACTTTCTAAGATTCTGTTAGGATCCTAAACAAACTTAAGCGAAATCTTGGCAGGATTCTAGCATTTTAGAATCCTGCTAGGGAGTTATTTGGTGGATCGTAAATGTTAGAGTCCTGTGAGATCTCAGTAGGAAATAGACAGGAAGTGCGTAGAATTTTGTCTATGGTGCATGTCTACTAGTTTCATTCTAGAAGATTTTTTAAAGACAACTCGTTATAAGATTTAGGAGGCACTAATGGGCACTACTATTACAAATATAGTATGAGTAGAGAAAGATGTGTGCAAAAGCTGAACTAGTTTCAGGCTTCGCTAAACTTTGATTACTCAACAAACTGATTTTCGGTTAACGTGAAAAATTATCATTTTCTCTTTAATATCAAGCTTAAAGCCGCTAAATAGTACCGAATGAGTTTTTTTATGCAAAATATTTCCTTTGAATTCATTAAAACCGATATTGCGTACCTCTAATATGTGTGTACTCATTAATTGCATTAAAAAAATTCTTAAAAGTAGAACACATCTTAAAGGTTAATGCATTTAAGAATATGAACTCTTTTTACTTTTCCAAAGCATTTTTACAAATTCAACACGTTCAAATGTCTTATTAACTAACACATTTAAACATCTTAAATTTTTTCACACATTCGAATGTATTAAAAAGATTTTCGTCCATTTAATGGATTCACATGAATTCGGATTAATTTGACGCGTTCATATGCCTTAAGGGTTATTATATTCAAATGTGTGAAATCATTTAACATATTTGAATTAACAAATCTTTTTTTCTTTTATTCATGTACTCACAGGTTTTAAGAGATATCTAATGAATTAAAAACTAATGCATATTAACACATTAATGATATTTAAAAACAAAAATGATGTTAACATTCTATAATGAAGTATTCTTACTCTTTTCTGGCAATGCCTCTAAAAGAATTTAGTCTAGGACGATTGCTTCTGTTCGATCCGACATACTCTAGAGGAAGGATCTAGAAAATTTTCTAAAAAACTGACTGCCTTCTCTTGATATGGTCTTCGATGAATGCAGTCAAATGTATTAAGATTTAATATGTTTTTATGAATTAAATCATTTTAATGTATAGAATATCTTTGAGTTGATAAGGTGTTAAAAGTCAAAAATCATCAAAACGCGTTAAAAAAAGTTTTTCGTTAATTTCATTTTAACGTACTTAATATGTATATAAAAAATAGTTAACACATGAAAAGAAAATTCTTAATATCAAAAAAATTCATTGGGCACCTAAACAGTCCAGATTCATTTTTCGAATCGTTTCCAGACAGGTCGTTTGTATTCTTTTTTCCTTTTGTTTAAATAGACTGAATAATATATCATTTGAATCAGCTTCTTGAGCGCTACAAAACTCTTTTGCTTTTTAATTTGTCATCAGGGTGAAATAGTCGAAATATTTTCATTAATACATTTAGATGAAAAACTATAGATTTTAACCTCTTCTTAAATTTTGTTCGTTTATTACTTGCAAACGTATGCAAGCATTTTCAAAAAACTGAAGCCTTTTAAAGAAAAATATTCGCTGACAAAGTTGTTCATTACATCCTAAGCGGAGTACTTTTTTCATTTTAATGGGAAAATTTTGAAACAAATGCTATTTATGTCAGTTTTAAGTACACTTAAAGCTCAAGATTTTCAATTTCCAATTTATTTCAAAATTTTCCTATTAAAATGAGAAAAGTACTTCACTTAGGATATAAAGAGCATTAGTCGGAACAACTTAGTCAGCGAACATTTTTCTTCAGAATGCATTCCTTAGAAATACGTGCATAAGTTTCAGAAAATTACTTCGAAGGTGAAACGGTAATAGAATAAAACATGTTTATTTTTTTACAGAGAATTGAATCAGTTTTCACAATAACTTGTAGACATGTGCAACTCAACGAGCTCGATCGAATTGCATAAGAATCAAAGTTTCAGCTTTATTTTTAAAAATTTTTTAAATAGAGAATCAAAATCACAAGATGTGAATAAGAATTCCTTTTCTGAACAGCTGCAGGTCCATTGATCGAAAAAACTTCGTGGTGTATACAGCGGGCTACAAAGCTCTGAGAAAAGCAGGTGTTTATCCCCGTTAACTAAATGATCCGTTATAACTCAATTACTACGTAAGAATCAAAATGAGATGTTAATATTTTATTTTAACAGAAGAAACATTTTTTTGAAGGTATGTCAAATATAATTTTCAAAAATTATATTTGATATAACTCATCAAAAATCAATTTTGTATGTTTTCGAATCTCTATTCGTATAAAATTGATTTTGTATTTTTCGATAGTATTAGTTTAGAATACTATAATGGAATATTTTTCCGCTTGTATCCTGACAAAATAAAGTTTATATCGAATATAACGTGCTTAGTTAGCTTAGATTCTTTTAATTTTTTCTGATAGTTCTCATGTGTGATTCAGAATCATTCATTCGATCATAACTAGCAAAAAGTGGCACAATTTAAAAAGGTTTCTATGTATTCAAAAACTCTTCAGTTAAGGGAGCGAGTAAAAGAAAATACTTATATTCTACATCTGTCTGAAGGGATTCCCATATGGACTTATATATTTCCTTTTGATACAAAGATACAACTCTTCTTTTAGTCCACATAAATTGGAAAAAACGATTAGAAAAAATCACAGTAACTATTGATTTAACTTGTTCAACCTTCTTCAGTTAATAGAATAGACACACAATATAAATTACGTATACCTTTAGATAACTACCATTTAACTAGATTTCGTTTTAATGTGAAAGATACCAGATTTTTTCTATTAGATAAATTATGATTTTATCAAATTGAATAAAAAAGCAAAATTTTCTCTAAACGGTACTAACACTAATTTGTTACGGATTTTGCAGTAATTTTATTTTTCATTTATATGTATCGCCTTAAGGAAAAAGTGAAGAGAAGAGAAGTAAAAATCTCATTAGTTTCTGTCTTTTTCTATCTTGTGCAGTAGAGATGATAAAATTGCACTTGATTAACCAATATTGATGTAGAATTTTTTCTGTTAAAAAGAGAAAGAAAGAAATATACCATACTAAAAAGAATAAAATGATGACATAATTGTAAAATATTAATATGAGACTTTGAATATACAAGCAAACACTCCCACGCACAATTAGAGAAAGCGGTGAAGATCTCAATTTTTTTGAAGGTTAAATTTTTTCGACATAGAGCACATTGACTGAAAATACATGTGCAGTTAGTTCAATGCAAATATAAAATAACTAGAACATAAATTTTTTGAGATTCAGATCGTTTTGAAGAGTAGTATGCATACAGCTATACCCCTATATGTCATTTTTTTCACTATTTATCTATAAAACATAATAAAAAATGTCTCACGAAGTATTGCAAGATCTTTTGTCTTCTATAAAAAGAGAATGATCTCATAAATTCTATTATAAAAGTAATCGAGATTTCCTCTAGGATTCTTGATGTTACTTCGAAAATAAGAAAGGAAAAATAACTTTCCTAAAAGATCATAATCCACAAAAATTAAAACCAAGATCGAGTCTCACAGAAAATCAGGGATTTTATATAGAATTTCTCGTACAGTTAGCGATCGTGTTATAACTAAGCATTTTAAACTTTTATTTAGCCTGTTAGATTTTCTATTCAGTCAGACTATTCGCTTGGCCTCTACATAGGATGCATTAGGACGTTCTTTAAATCAAACAAAAGCTGAGAACGATTCAGGATCTTGTAGCAAAATTTGTACGGGATTTCATCTAGAAATATCTGGTTTTCATGAGGAATCAATCTAGAATTCTGAAATTATGATTTCTTTAGAAGAATTATCCGGAATTCCATAGCAATTCTC